TCTGGGACAGCTCCACAACTGCTCAGGTCTCAAGGAAGAACATAGACAGCCCTCCAATATAGTTGTAGAATTTTGACCAAACGTTCTAGAGAAAGCAAGAAAAGAGAAATAGAAAGAAACGAGATAGATGAGAAAGAAGAAATATCTTGGAGAAAATCAAAAGCCTGGACCAAAAATGGTTGACTTTTCAAGAGTAGACCACCTCTTCTCGGCCGAGGGGTGTACTTCCTTCCTTCCAAGATCTTAGTAGACTGCTGTGTGAGAAAAGAGTTGGAACTAAAGGAATATTAGCACATCCAGCATGAAATGTCGTGCCAGGTCTCTTCAGGGTAAACGAAACGATTCCAAAATCAACTCAAGGACAATCAGAATTTTTTTTTTGGGAAAAACCCAGGGAGATCAAACGAGCAGGGGGAGAATCCCAGGGGATCCAAGCACTGAAGCGACTTCAAAGTATAGAACGAGACCGTGTCGTTCAAAGGCAGCTCTTAAAACCCAATTCCTTTGGCGCGATTCCAGCTCAAATGAGTGAGAAAGGAAGAAAAAGCAAAATCCATTATGTTATTTATTGGTTATGCTGCCTTTTCTCTTTTGATAAATAACTCAAGGTGGCAAATGTATCCAACACACTTTCCTCCTCCTGTTTCCCCCACAAAACAACAACCCTATGAGGTGGCTTGGGCTGAGAGGGACTGGCCCAATGCCACCCAGCTGGCTTTCATGTCTAAGGCAGAACTAGAACTCACCGTCTCCCGGTTTCTAGCCTGGTGACTTCACCCCTAGGCCAAACTGCCTCTTTATATACAGCAAAAAGGCAACGTTCTTCTAACTCATTCGTGGCCCATCGCCAGGAGACAGTGAATTCTAGTCCCGTCTTAGCCATGAAAACAAGCTGGGCGCCTTTGGGCCAATCACCAGGAGGTGGTTAGTTCTAGTTCTGTCTTAGCCATGAAAGCTAACTGGGTGTCTTTGGGCTGGTTCCCCCTCCTCCCTTTCCCTCCCCTTCCCCTCTCCCACCCTTTCTCTCTTTCCATCCCCCCGCCCTCCGCCCAACCTACCTCTCAGAGTTGTCCTTATGGGGGGAAAGGAAGAGGAAGGGGTGTTGGGTATGTTCTCCACCTCGAGTTATGTATAAAAATAATAATAATGCAGGCAGGAGATAAATAAATAATGAGTAACAAATAACAGAACACTCATGCCAAACCTCCTTCCTTTTCTCACTGCATTCCCCACCTCCATGCTATCTCGGTTAGCATCTTTTTTTCGTCCATCGACTTCCATCCACGGTCCGGGAAAGCAGGAAAGCTTTCCTTAGCTTTCCCCCTCCCAGATGTCCGCATCTTCTCTTGCATCCAAGGCAGTTCCTCTTAGGGTTCCCCTCCCCTATAAATAGACCCCGTGTCATCCCCCATCTGTCTTGTCTTTTCTTTTTAAAGCTTTGCTCTCTGTTCTCCCTCCGTCCCGTTCTCAGGAGAGAAGGAGTTAAAAAAAAAGAGCCACCGTTCTCCCTGTGATGAATATTTAACAGCCGCCAGGCTGAACCTCTGGATTTCTTCTCGGTGCGTTTTGCTTTTGACGGCGGCGGAGGCTGAGGGAGCAGCCTCCATCCTTTTCAGGGGGTGAAAACGACTCCCAAGGACAGCATCGTTGCTCTGACCAGCCAGCCCTCCACGCCATTCCCTCTGGATTTGCCGAGGTGGAAACCAAGAACCAAGGACACACGCCTGTTGGCTTGCCAGTCTTCCCCATCTGGAATTCCCACAGAGTTTTGGGTTGTTGGGTTTTTTTTTGGTTTTTTTTTGAGATCTCCCAAGCTCAGGGGAAAAATGCCAGACCTTTTAGGAATAACTTTCCTGGCTCTTTCTTGGATGGTTCATGCAGGGACAACAGGTGAGTTTGAAGGATGGAGTCGCTTCTACTGTCGGTGCAAACTTAAGAGTTTGAGGAGAGGGGGCAATTGTGCAACACACAGGTTTATGGGATCTTTCTTGGAGTCTGGACCTCAAGTTCTGTCAAACAGAGTTCAGGGACACTCCTGATCCCCATATTTACTTGGAGTAGAATAATCTGAGTTCAGGAATCAAGTCTCTCAATAGAAAACCTTCGTTATTCCTCCAAACCCTGTTTTTTTTTTACCCTTCTCTCTCTCCAGGAGTTCTTCACTTCACTAACAAAATTTGGGGATTTCATTTGGGTGCCCCTGAGGTTAAGCCACTGTGAGCTGGAAATCTTTGCCGAGGTCTTTTTGGAAGAGATCTCGATCTATCTTTAACCTTGCCCTTTTCTCTCAGCTTGGATCCACTTGTTCTAAACACCTGTTGGTTTGTGGGAGATGTTCCTGCACAAATGTCAAACGTTCTTGGATTTGGCTCTCCCCTGTGGAGCTTTTGTCTGTTGTTTACCTCATTTGGTGATGGCCGTCCGCTGGAGATCCAACACTCATTGTTGTCCTCAGCTGATGTCAGTTCTATTCCAGGGCATGCTTTGTAGTGTGGAATTGACCAGTGGTGGGATTCAACTGGTGTAACGACCGGTTTGCTGAGTGTGTGCTTTGCCTGAACCTCTCCGTACCAGCTGAATCCCAGTTGACCAAACAGAAGATATTTGGGCCAACGGTCTCCTGAGAAGGGGGTCTCCATTCAGGGCCTGTCACAGATTTGAGGGCCTGCCACAAAGAAGAGGGGGTTGACCTATTTTCCAAAGCACCTGACAGCAGGACAAGAAGTAACTGGTCAAAGGGCCCAGCAGAAATTATACGACCTGAGACTGAATGAAAAACTGCTGGTGACCTTCTACCGCTGCACTATAGAGAGTATCTTAACTTACTGTACCTATGTAGGGTTTGCCAATTGCATGGGGCAGATAGGATGTCACTCCAGAGGGTTAAGGTCATTGCCCCTCAGAGGATCATGGGTTGCCCTCTCCCCTCTTTGGAAGAGCTTTAGAGCCCCCACTGCCTTAAGAAAGTTCAAAACATCCTCAAAGATCCATCTCATCCTGGGCACCCTTTTTTTGAACTATTACCATCTGGCAGACAGTACAGGATAATAAAAACAAGGACAAATAGGCTAAAAAACAGCTTCTATCCCAGGGCAGTAATTCTATTGAATTACACCAAGCCACACCATGCCCGCTAAGCCACGGCACAGAACCAGTAGTAAATTTTTTTGAATCCCACCACTGAATCTGATCTTCCACCAACTAGGTGCAACATTCGTCTCCCAGCTGAATATCAGGTAGTCAAAACCCACAGTTTCTATTGTGGTATGCTTACTACAGACCTTATTAGCAAAAAGTTCATCTATTTCTTCTGTTTGGTTGCGTGGTCTGTAATATACACCTGGAGCAATGCCATTCTTTTTTTCCCCCCTTTTATATTGACTGAAATGCATTTGAGACTTTTTCCCCCCCAATCATTGTTCTGCGATATTCTCTTGCGCAGAACATAGAGTAACAGAGTTGGAAGGGCCCTTGGAGGTCTTCTAGTCCAACCGCCCCGCTCAAGCAGGAGGCCTTAGCAACGAAAATTTTGGTCTCCGTTATCGTCGTAAGTTGAGGATTACCTTCCTTGAGAAGAATTGCAGGATGGGTGAGAAGTCTTGCAAAGGGGAATGTTATAAAAATAAATACGGGCAGGTTCCCGGGGATAATTAGAGGAGAAAAACTAATATTGAACGTGGAACGGTTCTGTGAGAGAGACCGCTTGTCGATGCATGATAAAAAGCCTTTCAGATCTATTATTAATAGACTGAAGATAAAAAAAGAAAAATCAAAAGAAGATTTTTTTTCTCTCTCTTTTAGAGGTCAGGCGAAAGGAAAAAAAGGTAGAGGGCTTGGTCAGAAATTTAAAAGGTTGGGGAAGAGATCAAAAGCATTTTTAAAGTGTTAGAAGGAGTCTGATTTTTAGGGAAACAGAAGGTTGTGATCTTCAGCTCTTGAGTGATTTCTGAGTTTTAGCTCATGGCCGAGAAAATGAGGATCTTCAAATCAAGACGGCATCTATAACAGATGTAACAGAATAACAGAGTTGGATGGGATCTTGGAGGTCTTCTAGTTCAACCCCGCTGCTGAAGAAAAAGACCCTATAATATTTCAGACAAGTGGTTGTCCAATCTCTTCTTGAAAGCCTCTAGTAGTGGAACACCCATGAATTTTGGAGATGGCTGATTGTTCTTACTGTCGGGAAATTTCCTCCTTAGTTCCAAGTTGCTTCTCTCCTTGATTAGTTTTCATTCGTTGCTTCTTGTCTGCCCTGTTGTGCTTTTGGAGAATAGCTTGACTCCCTCTTCTTTGGGGCAGCCCCTCAAATACTGGGACACTGCTATCATGTCACCCCCTAATCCTACAGGAATCTGGCTTCCGCATTGACTTTGCTTGTCAGAAGCTGGCTGGGAAGATCTGAAAGGGTGATTTCCCTCTTCCTCCTCTTCTTTGCAAACCCCACCCCCTTCCAGCACTGATGATATAACCTAGTTGGGTAATAAAACGTCTGCCAGAAGACCACCGAGCTCAGAGAGCACCAAGGATCCCAGAGTCTGCTTCGTCCTCCTCTTTACAAACCCCACTTCCTTCCAGCCCTGATGATGTAACCTAGTTGGGTAACAAAACGTCTGCAAGAAGACCAACCGAGCTCAGAGAGCACCCAGCACACCATAGCTCAATCTTGAGCTGCAAATATTCTTTTTCTAAAAAAGAAGAACATCCTAAATGGATGGGGGGGAAAAAAAATCAAACACAGCTTTCCAGATGCACCTTCTTGATAGCTACCTGCTGTGTTCTCCGAACCTTCTAACTCACAACTGATCAATCAAGAGAGAAAAGTCCATTTCTTTTTTTTTTTCTTTAATGACTCGGCTCAGTTAAAAGTTCCTGATGTCCGTTTTCCATTACACCATTGATTGCCCAGCTGTCTTCCTGAGGATCTTGGATTGCGAGCAATAAAGCTAAATCGGACATGATTGTCCAAGAAACCACCGGAGGGAAGATCTGTTTCCTGAAGCATGAGAGATGGAGGTGCGTTGTTGTTTTCTTCGGAGCCGTTTCTTTGGAGTTTTTTTTTTGTTTTTAAGAAATTGATCTCCGCTTCTTTCTTCTCTGCAACCCAATTTTAAAGTCGTCTTACCTGGGGAGAGTGGAATGAAAAGCTAAGCCAGCTCTTCTTGATTTTTTGCTCTGCTCAAAAAAAATGAAATGAGATTTCTTGGCTCTTCCATTTTTCTGGAGAGCTGCGAGTAATATCTGGAACTGCATTAAACTAATTGTTATAGCAGGAATTTAGAACACGGAACATGGAATAATAGAGTTGGAAGGGACCTTGGAGATCTTCTAGTCCAACCTCCAATTCTGGTAGGAGACCCTATGCCATTTTGGACAAATGGCTGCCCAGTCTCTTCTTAAAAACCTCCAACTTCTGAAGGCAATCCATTCCACCGATTAATTGTTTTTACTGTCAGGAAGTTTATCCTTATTTCTAGGTTGGATCTCTCCTTGGTAAGTTTTCACCCATTACTCTCTGGTGCTTTGGCGAATAAATTGATTCCTTTGTCTCTGTGAGAGCTCCTCAAATTTTGGAAGACCACTATCATGTCTAGTTAGACGAGACATACCCCGTTCCTACAACCGTTCATTTAGAAGTGACTCAGATAGAAAATACTGCATCCAGTTTTGCCAACGTGCCTACCGTCCCTGTCCTATTGTTTCTCTTATTCTTTTATTTTTCTTATATGTACCCATTTCATGTATTCACAACTATGTATACGCTTATACTTATTATCTTGTAAACAATTGGCAAATCAAATAAATAAAATAAATAAATAAATAAATAAATGTTGAATTCCTAGAAAAAGTACAGAGAAGAGCAACCAGGATGATGAGGGGACTGGAGGCTAAAACATACGATGAACAGTTGCAGGATCTGGACATGGCTAGTCTAGGGAAGAGAAGGACCAGGGGAGACAGGAGAGCATCTTCCAATACATGAGGGGTTGCCATAGAGAGGAGGAAGGGGTCAAGCTATTTTCCAAGGCACCTAAAGGCCGGACAAGGAATAATGGATGGAAACTGATCAAGGAGAGATTCAACCTGGAAATAAAGAGAACTTTTCTGATAGAACAAATCAACCCATGGAACAGAAGTTGTCTTTGGAAGTTGTGGGAGCTTCATCACTGGAAGCTTTCAAGAAGAGACTGGACTGCCATCTGTCAGAAACGTTCTCCCATGTGGGCAGGGGGTTGGACTAAATGACCTACAAGGTCCCTTCCAACTCTGATAATCTGTAAAGTCTGTCAAGATACACCCCTGATTAACGAGTATAAGGAGCAGGAAGAAGAAGAATCAGACAATCAAACTTTCAAGATTCAGGTGTTACGGACAATCTCAATCAAAATCTTTTTCTCACTTCTGGGCTGTTTTAATTGGATTGAAATTCTAATGCTACCCACCAGAGTTAAATGTCTATGGAGATTTTCCAACATCCAGGTCACAGATTGTCCCAAAGGTGCTTTTTCAAAAGGCAACTGGACTTTGTTTTTCCTTGAAGATGTTTTGCTTCTCATCCAAGAAGCTTCTTCAGTTCTGGATGAATGGTGAAGGATGGAAGGATTTGCAAAGAATATAAATCCTACTCTCCGCCGTTCAATCAGAAATGAAGAAGCTTCTTGGATGAGAAGGGACTTCAAGGAAAAAAATGAGCCCAGTTGCCTTTTGAAAGTATGCCACCAGAGTTAGTTCTTTCTTCATTTTTATTCTATTTTTGCTAATCCAAATTTTCTCTTCTCCACTTTCCATCTCCTGCTTTTCCAGGTCTTTGGTGTTATGATTCCCAGGATCCTAAATGCGGTGAGTACCGGAGACAGATTTCTGAAGATACTTCTTGGAAAGATTTTGGGTGAATGTACCCCTCATCAGGGACATGGTGGCTAAGATGCTGAGCTTGTCAATCAGAAAGCTTGGCAGTTTGGCGGTTTGAATCCCTAGCTGCTGCTTCTTCTTCTTCTTCTTCTTCTTCTTCTTCTTCTTCTTCTTCTTCTTCTTCTTCTTCTTCTTCTTCTTCTTCTTCTTCTTCTTCTTCTTCTTCTTCTTCTTCTTCTTCTTCTTCTTCTTCTTCTTCTTCTTCTTCTTCTTCTTCTTCTTCTTCTTCTTCTTCTTCTTCTTCTTCTTCTTCTTCTTC